AACATTTTAGGGTATTTTAGCGACACCTTAAAGGCCGGTGCGTTAAAATTATTGTCTGACATTAAACCGGTCCGTGGCGGAAAAAAGGTTGGGGACCGCTGTGTTAAACTATATGTCTGTGATATTTAAGGACTTTATCATTCTTCCTTCCATATTTGGTGGTGGCTCCAATAAAATTAAAATTTTGGTGGCCATTAAGTTGCGTACTGGACATATGTTGAACTTGACCATGTACAAATACAAATGGAGAATGTAACATTTCATTCTCATAATGATGATGACATAAATATAACATATAAAAATATTAAAAGGTCTGGGATCTGTGAAATATTTTCTTTAAACATGCAAATGTTAGTAATTGCTATTTGGGAATGTTCGTGTAAAGATTGTCAGTTTCCATTTCCCTTGTTGCACAGTGTTATTCCAGGTTTGTTATTCCTGGTTTTTAACACTCCAGCAGCTAAAATTCAAAATGTAAACAGGGCTTCAGTCAGATTTTAATCTGCAGGCTTTGTGAGAGCATGAGACCTTTCCCTCCAGAGCTCTGTAACATTTCACACTGTGTTTCCCCTGGATTAGTCTGCACCTTCGGGGACCTCCACTGATATTTGCAGTGTAGAAAACATGGAAGGATGCACAATTTAAATGAGCGTACAGATCTTTGGGTGTTACTACACCTGCATCAGTTTCACTTGGGTGGAGAGAGGAGTGAAATATTACAGGGGTTACTGGAAGTTCATGTTCTGATTTCTAAATTTCTTTAAAAGAAAATGTCACTAAAATGTTAAAGCCTCCCCCAAGTAATCTCACAAACACCTCTGACTTGTTCTGGATAAATAAATAACATGTCCGTGTATACAGCGAAAGAATATGTGGAAAAAATCACCCTCTTTTATTCCCCTTGGCTTTTATTGCAATGTGGATTATTTTGTTTTTATAACTTCATATAAAACTGTGCCTGAAATGCTTTTCAGAAGAACTTTAAACATCGAATGCAGTCACTTGAAATATCTGTAAATATAGTTTTAAAGATATTTTATTATACTGGATGTATTTATTGTGAACTGGACACTGCCTCAAGGTCGAAAACGTTCTCTCATAAAGTGCTCGTTCACAAAACAAATGAACAAGCTTGGATGGAACTCTTCACAGTCTGATACAATACAATCTAATAATTCAATGTGCTTCATTAATTTTGATTGTTAAATGTATTTAATGCTTTCACTGTCAGTATGTGAACATATTGTACAACACGTTCTCTTAGAGCAGGTCGTGAGATAGTCACTGTTGATTTGTCTTTCTTCTATTTTTGTGTGTTCGTGGATGCAATTTTTTAACTGTGCAAAGTTTTTATCTTTTAAAGCACAAAAATTCAAAATTTCTACCCATGAGGAGTTGGTGGTGGAGCAAATATTTTTTTAAATTATCACTAAAAACTACTTTGGGAGATGTACGCACACAAAACAACTTGGATTTGGAAATTTTGAAAAAAAAAAAAAAGTCTGCTTTGCTAGGTTTGAAAAACGATTGTAGTAGTTGCCACTTCTGTTTAAAGACTTTCTGTGGTTTGGTTTTCATGATCCAACCAACTACGATCTGTCTTTTCTGGCTGGCTAACATTTTCCTCAGACAAACTGTAAGACAGCCACAGACACATAAGCTGTCACACTTGGCAAAATACTGTGCCGAGTGCTTTTTTTTAAACTTATCTCATCAGTTTTAAATTATTTTGTATGCTTACATTATAATCTAATGGTCAACAGATTCACATAACCTAGCTAAGTTAAAGCGAGAGAGTCAAACAAATAGTCTGATCAGGATCGGAGGCTAAACTGCTGCCAAAATCCTGAGAACAAATTAAAGTGCGTTAGCTGGCCAAATTATTTCATTAGCTAATGTGTGCTGTGATATTAACGATATGTGATATTTAGCTACTGTGTAATGCTAACATTTCATCTCCAAAATGTTGCTCAGGGAATGACATCTTCTTACTAATTCCATATTATTGACCACACAAAACAGTTCTCTATACATTTCACCCTTCGACCTCTAGTTTATGTTTTAGATTTGCTGCATGCAAACAGTATATATATCTTCATAATCAGATTTTCCTATACAATAATTTAAACACCTCATCAACGCTGCTGGTTGCTGGCTTTTCTATATCAGTCGCTGGTTACTGATTCAAGTGAAAACAGATGTTAAAAGGAAAAAGTACAGGCAGTAATTTATTCATTTTTGTTCACAATTGCAGTTATTTACACACTTGAAGGTGTTTTTCAAAGACGCACAGGACAGCTAAGTGTAATGACTTGGCTACATTAAGAGTTGTTTGTAAAAGAGGTGTTGTAATCATGTTTTCCTTCAAGTAGATGAAAGAACAAATTCCCAGTTACGCATCTCCATCGCAAGCTTTAATCCTCTCATTACGAGCCTAATGCATCCATTTATGTCCTCATTTCAGGTGTGCACTACCGAAAGTCCTGTGCCTCATCTGGAGCTTGTCTTATCGCATCTTCTGGTTACCAGCAGTTCTGCACCGGGAAGCTCAACTCGGTCTGCATCAGCTGCTGTAACACACCGCTGTGTAACGGACCACGCCAGAAGAAGCGACCCCAGCTATCTGCTGCCATCACTCTTAACACGCCACGGCTTCCTGTGCTTTCCTTCAACATCATCATCCTACTTTCCTCTATCCTGTGCTGACAGAACTTTCCTAAGATGTGCGTTGAAACAAACTGAAACTGTACAAGCTCTGCCATACATGCTTTGAAATGTATACAAGAGAAGGCTTTTTACAGCATTTGTTCTTGAGTCCCGGCTTTCTGTTGCAACAAAAACGACACAATAGTGAACAAAGTTATCGCCATGTGTCATGTCGTGAATATGGGTAAGATGTGGTGGATAAAACGGCTTCCAGCAGAGGGTTCATGAACGTCTGCAAGGTGGAAAAAGGCAAACAGCAAAGATAGCATGTGTAATTTCCAGAATAAATCTCTTATTTCTGCTCTATGCTCTATGAATAGGAAAAAACACGTTTTGCAGTGTATTCACCAACTGAAACAAAACATGTATCACATCTCCCAAATGAACATGACTTATTTAACCTCTTGGCATCTACCATGTTGTTAACAAACGACTTAGAGGTGCGATTAGAATTGGGTTGGAGAAGAGGCTGTTACCTTTAAAATCAGTTCTTTTTATGGGGTTTTTGCCTTTATGTTCTGTTAATTTGGTATAATTTGAACTAAACAGGTTCTGATTCCACATAAAGTTCACTAGTGACCTTTTGGCATTGAGAGGCTATTGGTAAATTAAATGATAAACAAATATAAAATAATAGAAAAACATTTTTTTTAATTTTAACAACCATTTCAGCCTCTTAGCAGGTGTTTTACAGTGTTTGGCCAAACAGAAATTTGATAAACACTTTTGAAGAAGGCACAAATTTGCCGTGGCATCGTTTCAATTAACATTTATTTCCTTCCAGATTTTCATTAATCATTTTTCCAAGATCTTGTATTGATGATGGCAGAATCACTGAAGTCCTCTCCAGCATATCCCAAAGATTCTCAGTGGTTTAAGATCTGGATTCTGTAGTGGTCAATCCATCTGCGAAAATGATGTCTCATACTCCCTGAACCACTCGTTAATTTCCTTAAGCCTACACAGCTCTTTGGTCCTACTCCCTTGAGTACTCTGGGGGTGGAATGCTCTGACTTCACAGAACATTTACCTGATTGCTGATCATGATCTTTTCCAGCCACATTTCTTCATTGGAGATGACAGTTCACCACTGTGCTCCAAGGTTTTGTTTTGTTTGTTGTTGGGGGTTATTTTTAACACATTGGACAATACTTAGCTTATTTGACTCTTATACTTAGCATTTGACCCTTTTGAAACTGAGTAACATTATTTCCACAACCACGGGATCTGTCCCCAGATGAGGTTGGTTAAGAAAACAGAAGCTACTGGCTCCAGTTAGGGTTGTAACTGTAACTGTTGCTGTACTAATTTTCCTATTTGCTTAGTCAAGTGGCTTTTTGTTGGCCAGGTAAAATAAGACCATTATGCAGAAAGTATGTAGTAATAAGGGTTGCTGAACTTGTGACTGACCAGGACAATAAGAATAAGACTTCAAAGAGCTGGAGAGGTCATATAAATCTTCTCAACACAGCAAGCCTTGACTCCGCTTAAACGTTCGCTGTACCTGAAATTTGTTCCCATGTTGAGTTTATTTTAAAGATTGAGATGAGCAGTCACTATGTGGGAAACATCTATGTGCAAACTAATGATACAACAATAAAATCTGCAAATATTTACTTTGAATTTAAGCAGAAAAAAGTAATTACTTGATTTAAATTTACTTTATAAATTTAAATACTGCACAGCTATGATGAAGCTCAGGGTTCCACCTGAGGATGGCTGCTCTTTAACAAATGGTTTCAACTTTAAAACTGTGACTCTGTTTTTGACCACTGTGTGACGTATACAGAGTGATTAATGCTGTTTTTGTGTTGGTAATAATGAATTAGTTTTCAATAATGAATGAGGTTATTTAAATGCGCACACCCCTCTCTTTTTGGGGATGCTCGTATGAATCCTGCTGCTTTAGGTCAGTGGTTTTCAGACCTGTTCTGGCATGCCCCATACCCCACAAATTTTACAACCCTCAACATTTTTATCTGAATAAGTATATTATGTAAATAAAGGTAAACATAGCATTAGCATACTCTTAATTCCAATTAGTTTCATTTTGTATTTTCCCCTGGTTCTACATCCCACAGTTTGAGAACCACTGCTTTAGGCAAAGGTGCAAATATCTGATACCTTTTAAAGACTTCTCAAATAGCTGCAAGCAACAAACACAACTTCAGATCCTCGGGATTCTCAGCAGTAATGTCCTGACCGAATACTCCTGATGTTTCATGTATGAAAACCTCTTAGCTAGTTTAGGCCTCTAAATGAAACAAAGTAAAAAAGATGAGACACAAAGATGGATGCAGCCACTGTGATGTGACCAGTTGGACTGCATATGACCCAGTGTATATTTCTTTTTGGCTTTAATTTTACTGTAACTTACAAATTAAAAATATTTTATATTCAGTATGACTTAAAAGTAGCCACTGAGGTCATACTGTCATCAGGAAATCGTTTTTTACTGAGGTCATAGATCAGAGGTCAGAAACCTGTGGCTGTTTTGCCCGTGTCCAGTGCCTCCCTCTGGGTTTGATAAAAAATTAATCTGTATATGGAAATAAATAAAATAAACACAATGTGATTGCTTTCACTACCAACAGATCTTTTTACTTAAAAAAAATCTGATTTTCCTTCACTTCACAAACACTTCTCTTTAGTGGTTAATAAAAAAAATAACTAACTAACTAAATTTTTATTATCCTAGTTCTATAATGTTATAAATTCAACATGAATGTGGCATTATTGTTATGAAAATGCAAAGTTAAAAAACCAAATAGTCATACAAAGTAACTGCAGACTTGTTTTAATTATTTATACCTATTCATAATGTTGATATGCTCGTTTATGGCTCAGCTCCCTTTTGATAATAAATATTGCTGACCCCTGTCATAGATCAGGGGAACAGAGGGCCATTTTTTCATACACTTCAATACAGTGTGACTTCTTTTTCCAGTCAGCCATTAAAAATAATGCCGCTTTGAGGCACGTTCTGCCCTTTTCGGACCTATTTAGTCTATCCTGAAACCTCAATTCCTCGTTGAAATTTGCGTTTTTGTGCCATTGCCTCCTCTCTGTGTCTGCCTCGCTGCCTAATGATATCAGAAACAGTTGTGTTTGTTTCAGGAAGGGACCACTTCACCCAATTTGTTTATGTAGTTCTCACTGTTTCAGCCATGCCTCTGTGTTTTGTGCTCTGTAATGTTTACAGGAAAATGTTGGCACTAAAATGTGGAAAAATTGTGAGTGACAGTTCAGAGGGTGCAGTGTGTTTATCACTATAAATAAAAAGCTGTTTTTGTTGGTAATTATCTTACTGTCACAGTGATTTGGAAAAAAGGAGGACAGCACCAGCTCAGCTTTCTAGGCTGCTCCAAAAAATATCCCAAATCTAATCCAGTTGACTGTGAGATGCAGTTAAAAGCCTGTTAAACAATAAAAAAATTAATTAAATACACTGACTCTACTCACTGACTTTACTGAAATGTTGTCAACTGTGCACATACAGGGATCCACAGACAGACACATATACTTTAAGTTAATCAATGTTTTTGTTATAGTGCATATAAAATCATCACAGAGGTATTAGAGCTAAGATGAGGCTGTTCTCCTTGGGATAAAGTCAGACATGGCTGGACATTCATCTCAGGAGTCGGCAGGTAGCTGCATAGATGACTAGATAAATTTAGAAAAGAAGTTTTAGGATACACACAAGCCAATTTCATAAATGTCCTTGATAAAATAGCCATTTAGACTGTAATGGAGCAGTACGATGACTGATGCGCGCACGAGAACAGACAAGAATACAGATCAAGGATGGCTTACACTTCAGCACGCATACCTCTGCAGACGCCTGGGTGAAGCATGTGATGGTGGCAGGTAACCCAGATGCTACACAGAAAGCAGAATGATGTTATAGTTTGTTAAATGGAAATATTCAGTGTCTTTTGCATATTTGAGACACGCAAATGATAAGAATTTAAATATGTATTTATGTTCTTCTGTGGTGAGCTGAATCTAACCTTTAAGTGAAAAGGCTGTATATGTCAATGAACATTTCTGAATTCATTTCACCTGCTTTGGTGCAAATCAAAGGGACAACAGGTGCACTCGAGAGGCAACGAGATGACCCCAGAAAAGGAGCAACACCTGGAAAACTGCTCCTGTGGGTTCTTCTCCAGCCCTGAGACAGAGACTTAATGCCCAAAGTGATGATAAAATCAGTCCGATTGACAGACGTGAGTTGGGTAGTATAATTTATTTAACTGAGTAATAGCACATTTGTGTTTTTGACACTGAAAAAGGAAACAGTATTGGGATGATGTTCTTGTGTAAAAGACAGTTTTAAGATGCTAAAAGTACCGTGTAAAGGTTTCTTAGTTCAGTTAGGAACACTTTAGTCTAAAGTCACGTTAATTTATTTGTCACAATGAATTGAATTGTTCAAGTTCAAAGATTAGTTGCATAGTTACATTTATTCCAATATAAAAATGTATCTAAGATATGTACATGCCTACTACACATTACAGAGTAAACAAATGAAATAATTAGGAGCCAGATTTAATCCTGAGTCAGCACAATTAAAGTTTCACAGTTTCTCATGTTTACGGCACAAAAACCAAAAGATTTCCCAACTTAACTCAGATTGTGAACTCCCTCTCTGTAATCGAGCTGGGTCGTGAACTCAGTTACTGCATTTTGCCAAACTACTCCAGGTCTAAACCGACTCCCCGTCAGGTCTAAGCATCAGTGAGGTTAGGAACTCTAACAGTAGACTAACACATTCAGTGTTAGTCTACTGTTAGAGTTCACCATTAAATATAAATGTAGAAACAGTCTAGAGTTAGTACAACCAAGTTTAAAAAAAAAAAATTCTAAAAAAAAAGTCACACAAATGTTCTGATTCAACACTGCAGCAGAATTCACCTGTAAGTGCTTTATATTTAATTCAGCTGCTGGCCTTTCACTCATCTTAAACATCGATTGACTAATTAACTTACACCTCTGGTATAAAAACTACGGACGGAACCACAGGGCACTTCACCCTTTGGTTTGTAAAATCCTTTTATCCTCTTTTCTGACGCTAATAATGATTATTATTTATTATTTATAAAATGCACTTAATGTTTTACTCAGTATAACCAAAAACTAGGTCATAAAGCCAGCAAAATATTTTTAGTCGCCCCCTGCTGGCCATTGAAAAGAATGCAGGTTTTTGTGTCGACTTTGCTTTTCAGGCTTCAAAGCTGGGCCCATCAAGTGTTACACCAAAGTCCAGCTATTCCATATTAGCCAGAGACTGTGAGGTGTTGGCAAGTTAATATTAACCCCATTAGAACCCCAACATCATTGCATCAAAACACTTTTTCTAAGTTACTAATTGTAACCACTAGATTTCTATTTTTAATTTTTATTATAGATTCCAACTTTGACTACTCCCTGATTTGGGACCTCCCGCCCTTCTTGAATATAAAAGGAAAGCCTGACATGGATACAGCAGCATTAAGCGCCAGATGCGACATCAATTGAACCATACAAGGGATTAAAAAGCAGAGCTAGGCTTGTTGTGGTTTGCAAAGCAGCTTGCAGCTACTGTGCTAAAGCTAAGTACCCTAAATACTATTTCAGATTAATAGTTGATTGTGACCTTGCGCTGACATCATGGCCTACCATAGCTAACAGTAGGGTTAATCAATGTTAAAATCCATTGCTATTTTACTGCATTTGCTCTTCTTGAAGGTTGGTGATCATAGTGTGACTTTCAGTTTCATCTGTGGGCCAAAATATTGATAAAAAATCCCCTCTCTGGAATGCAGAACACAGATTAGTCCTTAAACCCTCCAGTCTGTACCTTTAATTTTAACTGAAGCTCTGGGGTATTTAAGATTCTATATTATATTTTAACATTATCACTGGAGGTAAATGTCCTTTCGAGACACCCTGTGCTATGTTTTTTGTGTACTCAAACACAGCACAGGGTGTCTGCTCACTGAATACTTGTTACTGCATCCATGGATAAAGCAGTTTCTCCCACTGACTCGCAAAACAGGCTATATTTCCGACTCTGATGGTACATTTCTATTCTTGAGCTCCAAGATTTGCTCTTCAGTCCCTATGATGGACGTCTGAGTATCCGTGCCCAGTCCCGAGTCATCTTGCGACTGAATTGTCGTAAAGGATGAAGGTATTTCCTCTTTGGCGACGGTGGTGCGACTCGACCTATTTCGACGCAGTGACTTCAGCAGCAGGGGGCGTTGAAGGGATTGCATGGGGGCAGCCCTGAACTGCACGGTGGACTGATTTTTATGCACGATGGTAAGGTGACACCGCAGAACCTGCATGAATACGTCCCTGAACTGCCGCGAGGACAGGTTGTAGAGGAAAGGGTTGAGGACAGAGCTGAGGTAGAAGAAGGTGTCGGCCACGGGGTGGAGGATGACGTAGCTCCGGAAGTAGGTAATGGTCCAGTTGGATTTGGGCATAGCGGCCATCATAAGACGGCGAATCTGGTTGGGAAGCCAGCATACCATCAAGGATCCAACAATGAGAACTAAAGAAAAACACAAAAAAAATAAATATAAGAGAAGTGATGACTTTTTAAAAACTCTCGTGTCTGTCAATATCATATAATAATTTTAAAAAGACAGGAAACAAGATAAAACATTTAATATGCTACATGTTTGTTAAAAAGAAAATATGTTTAATCAAACTTACTCAAAGGAAGGGTGACGAGCTAAAACACCACCTTTATTCTTTAAACAGCTATGTTCTTGATATTTTGACTTTATTCATAACAGTTTTTCACCTTTATTCCCAAAAAAGTATTTCAACTTTATACCCTTGAAATGTAATACCGGTATAATGTTGATAATGATAAGAAAATGAAATATCGCGATAGAATATAGGGAAAAAGCGCACGTGCAGTGCCTTTGTTTTTATACGCACATGGAGGAAAAAGCGTGCCGGCAACGGGGAATGAGAAGGGCGAAAGTGGATCGTTGAATGAAACGGATGAACCAGAATTGGTTTGTAAAAATGCTGCAACTTCAGTGGTGTGGAACTGGTTTAGCTTTCGTCAGTCAGATACACAACAAAGCACTATTTTTGGTAGTGCATGCTAGCGGGCCATCGTTATTACTGTGTTTTTTGAAAATATGGCACACTTAAAATCAATCCTTTGATTTTTCTGAAAATCGACAGTGCCCTTTATAATCCTGTGTGCCTTATGTATGAATTCTGGTTGTGTTTACTGACCTCGAAACGATTTTATGTACACGGCGCTCGAAAATCTGTCAAATGTTTTAGTACGACTTTGCTAAGCTACGAAGCCACACGGCTTGATGGGTTGTCGGAGCATTACGGCTATCGTAGGCAGGAGCCTCGCAGAGTGATACATACTGTGTTTTAACATAATATGTGTATAACCTCTTTTTAAGTTTTGTGGATATTATACATGGTTATGCTGAGGATATGTCAGCCAGTTTCCACTGGAAATGCCACTGTCAGCAAGGAATTTGCATTTGCACTGTTAAATTTTTATATAGTTTTAATGCACATTTAAAAAAAACAGCTGCTTGTTTAAGTGAAAATACATTGATGGGTTTGTTTGGGGTTGTTTTTTTTTGCACTAATAAAGTTGTGGAATT